CGCCTCGTGCTGTTTCATTTTGAATGCCAACATTTATTATTATAGTATTTCTCATTAGATGAGTTGAAGCATTATAGAAGCAGACAAGTTATCATGTGAATAGGATTATTTTGGAAACATTAACTAATTACTAGTATAGTACTGTTCAGGATGTCTGCCTCAAAGAAAAACTGTTTTTCTAAAATACTTGAGGGAGAATTTGAGGAAAAAGCCCCATCAAATAAAATTTTTAAAAGCCCAATACATAGACATTTCTTATTATATCTAGAATCTAACTCACATTAAACCCTCAGTTTAAAATTATATTTTTATAGAGTCCTCAGACTTCTTAATGTTTTCAGAATGACTTTCAAACATCAATTGATGTGTGGCCCTGGAAAAAGAAAGATAAATTATAAAATTTTATATTCTGTGGTATTTGGTGAATCCTTACAAAGTGCTACCAAATATTACAAGTCATAGAAGTTATATTTTAGCTAGATGATCTATATTTTTCTTTCTGCTTTCACTCACACACACAAATGATGCAGAAGTTTAGAGAAGTATGCACAGACACTTAACTCATTCTGACAAAAGTAACTGAGTCCCTAGTATAACCGCCTCAAGCCGGTAGGATAATTTGGGCAAACATAAGGAGAAGTTGTTTTTGTATCAGTTTTTGCAGGCAACCGTCTCAGAAAAAAATAGCAAAGTAACCTGTTATAAAAATCAAATGCCACTATAATGAAGGAGAAAATTAGACAATTAAAAAAATTCAAAATACAACCAGGTATCTATAGGGCTTAACTAGAATTTAGGAATGAAGGAGGAAAAAGATAAGAGATCCTTAGGAACGCAGAAAAGACATGACTTTTGGCTCCATGTTAGGGTGTTAAACACACATCTGGAATATTTCCAGGGGTAGCAGCTGCATCTCATGCCGAGTGGATCAGAAGCATATCCAACATGCAGGTGCCTTGGCCAGCTCGTTAGAAACCAGTTGGTGTTGAGCTGATTCTGACTTATGGTGGCCCCATGTGAGTTGGAATAGAAGCTTGTTCCACAGAGTTTTCAGCGGCTATTTTTTGGAATGATATTGTGAGGTCTTTCTTCCAAGGCCCGCTCGATGTACTTGAACCTCCCACTTTGGGGTTAGCAGCAAGAGTGTTCATCGTTTACACCCATCTGGGACTCCTCAGCCAACATACAAGGAACTAAAAAGCTAAGAGTCCTGGGGAATTCCTTCAGCCATAAGTTCCAGAAAACATATTTAGATACCTTGGCACAAAAGCTAGAGTATTATGAATCTCACAAAAGAATGCTATCTAAGACAAAAGCTTGACATGAATCTATCCTAGCGGGATAGGGAGTGGGTCTGGTCTCAGTCTTCCTTACTGGGTGGCGATGGCCAAACAATTACATCTTGCTGCTTTATCCTTGACCCATCCATAAAGTAGAAATAATTATTTCTACAAAGGACTGTAAAGATAAATTAGTACATATCCTCCCCCGCCCCCATGTTAGACAGGGTTCTCTAGAGAAACAAAACCAAGACACTTATGATTTTAGATGATAGATAAAGATACAGCATGAAGGAATATAACAGCTAATTAGTCTACACAGCAGTACAGAGGGCTCAGTTCAACTCACAAGGGCTACTGGGTCCAAGGCCAAGGAAGCAAACAGCTGAGTCTTCCTTTGAGCAATGCAGGCAGTCCGGCCACAGGCAGCAGGGCAGGTCACCCAACAGTGCGCAGCTCAGGAGCTTAGCAAAGCAGGCCCGGATGAGATATCAAACTCAAGCCATGCAAGACAACAATATGAGCCTCAAGCTCAAGTGATGTATACACCAGCAGTGTGTTGAAGCAGGTCTCGAAGGAAACTCAAGCTCTAGCAACATGATCCATGGGTTGTGTATCCCACAAGTAGTGGTCACAAGTTGAGGCAGAGAACTAGGTAAAGCAGCTGCACACTGGTGAGATCACCAGAGAGTAAGAGAGAGAGGGGCGGGGCTTGCCTAGCCGTTTATCTCTTTGCCCTCCAATCAAACTGTGACCTTATTAATCCCACATGTTCCTATTGGCCAGGTTGGCACAATAAACCTAACACACACACACACAAAGAAAGTGGCCCTGTAGGATAGAGTGGAACCACTCCATAGGATTCCCAAAACTATCCATCTTTATAGGAGCAGGCTGCCTACAGAGCAGTTTATGGATTTGACCCACCAATTTCCACTAGCAGTCAATGCAGTGCTTAATACAATGGGCCACCAACCAAAAACCCACTGCCATCAAGTTCATTCTGGCTCACAGCAACTCCGAATAGGCTTTTTGAGGCTGTAAATCTTTGAAGGAGCAAATAACTGCTCCACAGGAGTAAGAGGAGGTTTTCTACTCCTGTGAAGGGACAGTCCCGGAAACCCAAGGGACAGTTTCGCCCTCCCTCTAGGGTCGCTCTGAGTCAGAATGGACGCCACGGCATGAGTTTGGTTTAACTTTTTTTCTCCCACAGAATCACAGCTGAGTTTGAACAGGCAACCTTGCAGTCAGCAACCTAAAGATCATGCAACATTGCCACCCAGGCTCCTTAAATTAATTCATAAAATACATTTACAGACTATATTTGAAACATTACATTGTTTAGTATTCATGTTCATTGCATACATTTAAGAATTATTTTCAGATGATTTCTCAACTTTTACGATGCTCGTAGTACTAAAATTAGGATAAAGGTTTTCATGAAGCTTTGCAAAGCCAATAATACTTAGTTCTCAAATGCCTGTGCCATTCCTCAAATGCTTGCTCTTTATTTAATTTTTTTTCCAGAAGTAAACAAATGCTCCCAAAGGGTGGAAATTAAATTCTGACAGAGTGATGTAACCTCCCAAGTTTTATGTTTATACAACACAAATGTTTTCACACTATTGACA